AGTCCCTGGAGCAGGACCCGCTGCCCTTCAGCCGCCGCTGCTGGCCGCTCACGAAGTCCCAGGGGTTCGGGCATCTCCCCGTTCTAGTGGTAAAAGAGGCAGGAGACACTTACAGGTAGGGAGCTAGACAGGGAAAACTAGGGTTTGGTTTCAGTGAGCTCTCTACTGCTGCGTTTTAAGAGGGAATGATTAGGAAATTATGCAATTGGGCATTGGGACAGGATAGATGTTGGATAGAGCTCTCGTGTGTCCTGAGAGGGAAAAAGAAGCTCAAGCAGGCAGGATTTGTTCCACCCGGACCTCTTCATCCACCTTTCCAGGGTCTCAGGGTAAGCAGAGCTGACTACAGCAGCTGACCTTCACCTTGACAGGCTGGCCTGGAGCTTACCGTGCTCCGTGTTTTCCCAGAAGCAGCCTCCTGGCACTATGGCCAGCTTTCCCCACGCTGTGAAATCAGACCATCAGAGTTGTCAGAGGGCTCTTCACAGACCCCATTTCAGACTCAGTGCATGGCTTTAGGAGCCCAAGTATCAGAAAAGGCTTTGGAGTTGATCCTAAGGGAAACTCATCGAACGCCAACAAAATCCATTAGTGTTCGTTTTTGCCATGAAGTATTTATACTGAAGAACAGATACAATCACCCTTGCAAATTAGAGTTTAAGGTAGCCTTAACTAATTTTAAATTGACTTATGTTTAGCATAGGTATTCTGCAGACCTAGAAGTCAGTCTTGCCTTAGGTTGTGTTGCATGGAGCATCACTAATGCAGGATAAGCTATAATAAGTACAGGAATAATAAGCCAAGAGGAGACTTGGTGCAATAAGAGATTATAGCAGGTATTCCTCAAGTTTGTGAATTAGATTTAGGAGCTGAATGGTTACAGCACTATCTGTCAAGTTCAGCTTAGGAAAGAGATGCCACTAAGGCATGTCACAAGGAGATACAGCAGCCTTTTAGCAAGTTTACCCTGTTTCTCCCTATTTCAGAATGCCAATCCCTATAGTTATCCCAGCTGAAAGCTGTTACTGTGTGTGGTTTTGGTTTGTGTGTGCCCTGGGGTAAGCAGCATTATTCTTGCAGGGACACCAAGAAGTTCTCTTCCATTGACCCAGATCATTGATCAAGCTTGTCAAGAGGCAGAAGCTTACAAGGATGCTGGAGTTGTAAGTTTTGGTTTCCTTCTTCCTATGACAGCATTTAGACAAAGCTGCTTCTGCATAGCTAGTGTTTTAAATTGAGTCTATAATTCATCAAAAGCATCTTAAACCACACAGTTTAGGAAGATGTTCAAACCCACATCTTTTATTTCAACATAGTAAGTAGGCCTTCTAGATTACAAAATCTAAAATAAGTATCACATGCACCCAAAACAATTGAAAAAGCTTAGATTCAAATTGTGCAATTCAAGTTTGCTTAAGTTGAATTAGCATCACTTTGTAAGAATCAAGTCAATTTAAGCAGGGGGCAGGGAAAGGAAAGTTAACTGCAACACAGATGGTTGCTGGCATTCTAGGTACCTGGTTGTAGAATGCTTCATCATTCAGCTTGGTAAGTCACTGTACTTTTAGCTCTGTACAACACTGGATTTGTGAAGTCATGGAGGAGTGCCATGTGCACAGCTGAGGCACTGCATGCATACCTCAGTCACTTGTAGGGTGCAGAATCTGTTTGCACCAAACCAGCACAGATTATACAGGGACTAAAAAACAACAACAAAAAAAAAAAACAAAAATGAAACTTAGGCCCTTTTCTGCCCACTTTAACCCTTCTGTCCTAGTCCCCTGGCAGGAAGCATGCCTGTCTTGTGCATCTAGAAGCGAAGGCCCGAAAGGCCAGTCTCAGCCAGAGGCAAGAAAAGGCAGGTACTACTGACTGAATTGCTGTTGGACCTGAAGGTGTAGTAATCTTCATAGGTCAGTAGATTTTAACAGGGTGTATGTCCTTTTGAAAGGTCAGATATGTTTTAAACATTTCATTGCACTGTGTCTTCAGGTGTTGATGTGCTTTTTCTTTGACCTGCCTACAGTATTGTACATTTTCTGGCATGGTAAGGTGGTGTCCTAATGTCTGAGGTTTGAAAATGTATTAAATGAAAAAGTAGTTACTGCTCTGAGCTGCTGTTTTCTGCAAAACTTTAATAACAAGCCAGTTGAAACCTTTTTAATGGCATAAATTAGAATGACACTTTACAGACTGAACAAAATTCAACATAAGAGCTCAGTCTAAATTACAGAAGAACAAGGTCAGAATGCAAGACAAGTCACACAAAGTAGATTATGGACAGAGTGCTAGTAAGGCTAAGTTAGGAAACAATCCCGAGAACAGAATTGTTGAAAAGATAAACATCAGTGCAGAAGAATGGTGTTTACATAGGCAGGCTTCAGGGCCTATGAACCAGATAAGCGTGTGCAAGATGTCCACTTCGTTAGAAAAATCTCCAGCTGTAAGCTGTACAGAATGAGTAAGTTTTCTTCCTTTTCATGCCTGTTGAAAGAAAAGGTATGCAATAGCTCTGTATTCTGTACTGTGACTTTATATTTTGTCTTTACAGTTACAGTATCGACATGAGGTATAACGTGATTTGATCTACTTCGGAAGTGTCAAGTACTAGTCTGTCTTCCTGTGTGAGAGGAAGTGGTTACACAAGTGATCTGTAACTCCTAAAGCCATTGCCTCACATGCCAGTGCTTGTTTACCCATGTCCCTTACATACTAATTACGCATTGAAACCTTTAGCAGCAGGGAGAAAACACCTGCGTATACCTAAAGTTGAGGGAGGGTGCAGAAGCAGTTATTGTTACTGCTGACATGCAGAAAGCTGAACAGTATTAAGACAAGCATTAAAATCAGTACTAATATAAAATTTTAATTTGTGTTTTATACTTTATTGTCTTTTCAACAGTTGTAATAAATTCTGCTATTCCAGGTCTAACTGGTTTACCTTTTATCCTACTGCATTTCAGTCTCTGAACTTGAATATATTTTTAAATCTACCTCTCAGGTAGACAGATGAGGTGAATCCACTCATTTCTTTACACATTTGGACAAATTCAGGGCTTAAAGTTATGCTTAGTCTATTTCCTGTAGAAATCACAAGAACTTCAGTATACATTCCACACCAATCTTCATTCTGAAGGTCTGTACACAATAGTGTTGCAGCAATATGACAAACAAATCCTTTATTAATGCCATAAAGGTCAGAGATAATCAGGAGAGCTTCCATAAATATCAGTATGATTGCCTAACACTTTCTGCTATTCACTTGTTTAGTTTTTCCCTGGTACTGTAAGAGAAATGCACATTTTTGTGGTAAGATACTGAAGGAGCTTCCTGGCTTTTGCACAGAGATCACCACTCCTCCAAACTAACTATCCTGCTTCAGTAATGGGAGAATAGTTGGGTTTCCCCCTCAGTACTCCGAGTGAACTGTTAAGCTGTCTTTTTCTTGTGGAAGAAGAGCTAGAAACTTAAAGGGATTTTTCCACAGATGTTTCTACTGACAGTATTTCCAAATCCTGCCTGCAGTAGCCTTTAAGAAGATATGTAACCATCTTGCTGCTACTAGATGTTTACATATTGTCTCATGTTGCTTGAATTGGTGTTAACATTTTAAAATAAAGTATATGGTCTTGCTCACTCAATATGCATTGCACTTGAAAGTAAATCCTAGTATATTCAGAAAAAGGTGACTTGTCTGGCACATTAGCAGCTTAACATAATAAATATGAAAGATTTGTGATATTAGAGCACAGTAATGAAAACAAGTGAGTGCTCAGTTAGGAAGCCATCTGTGCTCAAAATGTATATGCTTTGTATTTGTGTGTTGCTAAACAATTAAATTCTCTAGACAAGATTTTATAAACAGCAAGCTATGAGGCATTATGATCCCTCCAGTTTGTATCTGCTTTTGTTTAAGGAAAATGCAAAATACATATATGCAAGTTAACTTTTATTCATTCCATTCAGCCTGGGTGATGCTTACTTTGTAGCCAGAAAACAGAGCAGAAGTTCCCTCTAATTTTATTGATATAGATCACTTTACTACTAATTGGTGTTATCTAGCTGTAGCTACTTGAGTAGCCGACATTAAAGATAGAGATACAGAAGTAAAATTACTTCTGTAAAAAGAAAAATCCCAAAATTATAACTCTGCATTGAGTTGCAAATATTACAGTGCTTCTTACCACACAAAATTTTAGGTTTGATTCCTTTTCCAGTGCTGTTTCTGGAGATACATTCATTGCTATTCTGAGCCTCCTGACCCTTCTTTTGTCTCTGTACCTGGAAGGGAAGTTGCTGGTACATATTTTACATTGATGTTTTTTAAAATGAAGTTTCAAGCCTATTATTCTTACAATTACAACAATAGTTGGAATTCAAATTACTTAGAGTTTAATAATAGTTGAGACAGAATAAACTAATATTTTTGCGTAGAAACATGGAGTTATCACTTTAATTACAGAGGTTAACATTTCAAAACTTAGCTGTATTAGAGCAGAATAAAATAGCAGACAAACCTCCTGACTGCCTCCTGTGGCATTTGCAGGAGAATACAAGATACCTACTTACCTATATTAAGACAGTAATCTCTTGCTGTGGAGGTAAGAGTTTTTAAAGGAATTGCTAGGAAGCTGTGCCTAGACACAGCAAATAAATGCTTCACAAAGGCACCTGGTTTTCTTTGTAAGGGGCACATGACTGTAGTGGGAAAGGCTGTAATTGTCTTAGTGCACACCTGAACCTATATAATAATGGGTATGGTGCAAAAACCCCCTTTCTTCCTGTAGGAAAGAGTAGCTTTAAGCTTGCAAAGGCTTGTATTAGTATGGGTGTGTTTGTAGGTAAAGACTTTCTGTTGGAGAAAACACTGGTGTTAAAGTTGCACTGGGTAAAAGTTACGTTAGGTAGATGCTGAGTTAAAGCTTGTACAATTGTTATACCTGTTGTGCTTTACAGTCTTGTGACTGTTCTAGAGGCTTTTCTGCTGTGATATGTGTGCGTGCAGCTAAAGTGTTTAAGAGGCCATTTCTATAAGTGGAATAAAGCTAAGGAAACTATTTTTCTATATAATCAGAGAGCTATTTAAATTACTTATTTTCCAGTAGCTAAATCTGATACAAGAGCCACTTTGTACATATGTAGCACTTCAGAAGTCATTCAAAGTAAAAAGGAAATATATTGTTTGAGAATTACATGTAATAAGGCTATTATATATAAGCAACACTTAAATCATCTTATTATTCAGTGGGAAAAGAACACAAAAGGTATTTGCTCATACTATCCAAATAAATTCTGCTTTGGAGGGTATAATACAGTAGCTGTTCCTATAGACTTTTAAACTATAAGCTTAAGTTCTAAGAACTTTAATTTAGCGTAACTGTTTTCTTTCCACCATTTTAATTAGCTGTCTGATAGGACTGAAGTCTGTTTTTTATATATATATATCAATTCAGTAAACACAGAAATCTGTGGTGTTATATTTTTATATAAAATATGAAAGAAAGCTTTGAGTTAATGCATCTGTAATTCAGCTCTCTATTGCAGAACATATGTTGTTCTTTTTTAATTAAACAAAGCATAACATGCAAAAGAACATAGTCTATTGACTGGTACCAGAAGAAAAACGCATTATTGAAGTAATACCAAAAATACTCACTGTAGCTGTGAACCTTGAGGCCATAGGAAGAGGCAACTGCTGAGAAGTGAATATACTAAGTTTAAGGCGGAAGAGAGAGATGTTGGAATCCTCCCATATGCCTGCATTTTGAACTAGAATTCAGATTCTTTTTATGCACAGTAGTTTGGCTAGGGTTTTTAATTAATTGTTAAATGAATTGATTCATTAATATATCTAATGGAACAATTTGCTTTATGCAAATCCTGAGCTGTCAAAGTAGTAGCAACTCATGGAAAGCTCAATTTCACTGCTGAATTCCGATGGAATTCTGCCAGCCCATTCTCCTGCTTTTTTTGGGCTACTAGTGTGGCTCTTCAAGAGCTGAGCATCTGAAGCCCCATTACCAGACGCGTTTCTTCCTGTGTGTCCTATTGAGGTTGATTCTTGACTGCCTGAAAGTCTGGGGCTTCTGGTTTGCAGATACTAGCTCCTTGCCCTTATGATAAGCTTGCAGTTTCCCAGATATCCAGGTTTTGGTAAGTCTGCCAAGTAGAGCATTCTTGATCCAAGGACCAAGGGCTTCCAGGTTTTGTGGCCTCAAGGAATTATCTGATTTTGAGGATTCATTGCATTTTTTGAGTTTGTTTTGTTTTGTTAAAACATTATAGTTTTACCTTAATCCTTTTGCCACATACTACTAATGACCAACTTTGCATTATTGCTTAGACTGACCTAATATGTTTATGTGTACAAAGGGCAAAAGGCTAAGGGATTTCTCTTTCTCTTGGTACCACAAAGGATTCAGTAGTTGTGCCTGAGGTACAAGACCATTTGATCAGTTCGGATTTGTTGGAACGGTCCTGACCTTATTCCAGACAACCAACTAAAAGTTTGTGATTTCTTTTCATTTCTGAAAATGCTGTGGGTTTTCTGAAGACTGGTTGTCATCTCTGTCATATGGCTACCTCCCCATCACAGGTAGAGAAGTGTGGATGTTAAATTTTGTATTGAATTGGACGTAGAAACAAAGTCACGGACAGATGTTTTCGTTAGTTTTCATATCTGGTTTTCCTTTGCCTAGTTGAGGTTTTCTTGGACTGGAATTGTGTGATTAAATATGCTGATGAATGGCACCAAACAGTGTGTAGGTCTAATGTTGGATGCTGATATTATTAGGTTACTCTTTCCATTGATAGGTTGTGTCCCTTTGTTTTGAAGGTAGCATGAATTTTGTGTATTTAAATACCCATCTGTAAGTCATTTGGTAAAGGCAACTGTACCTTGGTGCACTGAACGTATGTGGGTCACGTGCTTGGACTGACCATATTGTTCCACTGGATTATTTCCAGTCTCAGTTTTTCTCATCCTCCATGTTAGGTGTTCATTTATGATGTCTGCAGCTTAGCCTGTAGTTCAGCCATTAAATGCTGACTGCATTTTATATACTGTCTCTTACTGCCAAAAGGGCTTCTACACTACAGCAAAGATTAAAGAAGCATTACATGTGAAAGTTTTTTTAAAAGGAAGCCTTTTTTTTTCCCCCTTCCTGATTGTCTCCTTTATTATTAACCAAACTTCTTTGTTTAATACCTCGTTTTGTTTTGTTTTGTTTTCCTCAAATGTTCTTTCTATTCTGGTTCAGTTCAATATCTTTGGAATGTAAAACGCTTACTTTATAGGATTGAGATCTGTGATAAAATTCCAGACAGAGCAGAATTTATTTTCTATATATACAATTAATTTGTCTATTAAACTTTCTGTGTTTTTAGATTGAAGCAGGTGAGAAATTTCTGCCTTCTTTTAACCTTCTCACTGAAAATGCAAAGCATCAGGCTTGAAATGTGTTTTAAGGCTATACTTTTACTCTTGTTACTAGTCCTTGACAAAATTATATATGATTTGCAGTTGTTGAAAACTTTCTGTTGTATACTATATAATGATTGGAAAAGGACAAGGTACCAGGTAATGTGCAAAGATTTTCAATAAATCACATAAATTGTATTAGCAGAGTATTTTATCATCACTCCATTGTTTGCTAAGAGTATGTCTGTGTGGAGTAAGAGGTATAGTAGATAATAAATAGCAGTATCTTCCTTCAAGTAATTCTGAATCCAGAATGGGAGAAATATCAATAGTTAATACTATGGTATTAGGCACACTGCAAATAGGCACAATAATAGTCAAACAAAAATTTCCTTTATTTATCCAAAATAGCACTTATTTTCTGACATCAATGGAATTGAAAATTGCCTTGATTATCTCTAAGTCCTCCATTATCCAGACATACTCAATATCCTGTATTCCACTTGGATAATTGAAGTTTGACTTTATACTATTTTTAATGAGGTGTAAGATTTAACTCATTTGCCTATAGTTCACATTTTAGGATGGATCAAAGGAAACCAAATTGATGAATGTATAATTAAAATCACATTTATTTCTCTTCATGATTTCCCTGCAAATACCATGCTGTTGATGAAAGCACTTTTATAAGTGGTTGTATGCATCAACACAATTTACTGTAGATAATCCTTCCTTTGAAGGAAAACCTTTAAACTCGTGTATCTTTTAATACAAAACAGCATAGTGTAAACTAGCCATGTATTTTAAGTTACTTTTTGTCCAGTTTAATTATTTTTCTTTGTAATAATCTTCACAGGATGGCTTGATAGTAGAAAACATGCATGATCTTCCTTACACGGTGTGTCCTGGGCCTGAAGTAACTGCAGCGATGACAGTCATTAGTGCTGCAGTGAGACGAACCTGCCCCCATCTCGCGCTGGGTGTCCAGATCCTGTGTGCTGCAAATCAACAGGCGATAGCAGTTGCTCTTGCTGCAGGTAATAGAAATGACTCATCAGTTATTACTGTTGTTTGCTATGGCATTTACTCTCTGCAAATTGTGCATTGTACTAACATAGATACCATGAAAAATGAGACATGAAAAGCTCACTGTACCCTGAAAAAGCAGAAATTAGATTTTGAGAAAGATGCCTCCTTGATTATAATAGATGATACTTGCGCGCTGCTTCAGTTGGAGGCAGCGCAAAAATCCCAAGGCTGTTGCTGCAGCTTTCTAGGTGAAACCTGTCTAAATATAATGATTAGTTTAAACCTACTCATGTCTAAAAGCCACCTTTGGTGTAACTCTATTTGCTTCAGTTAAATTATATTTGAGGATCAATTTAACCCACGGTGGTTAAGCATCCTGTTTCAGCATCTAATTATATGTTGTTGCTACTACTGTTATCCATTAAAACTAAGTTTTCATTGCCTTTTTTTAATGAATGGATAGAATGACGCTTTTTGTATAATAACAAAAAATTGAGTCTACAGCTAGCCAAACTACTTAAAATTAAATTGCATTTGGAGGACTTAAATATAAATTAATCCATCTTTATTGCACGAATCCTAGACTTGCTAACCTTTCTGCTCCTACTGCTTGCTGAAGTAATTTTACTTTTCATATGTAACATTCCATGATTTACAGATGGAGACTGGTTTAATATGGAAGGCTTGTACTTCCTAAATGCTTCATAAATTGAGGGTTAATGCCTGTTCTTGCCCAAATTGCATATGTGATTACAGTAAGGTTGCACGTTTTTGAGTGTACAAATTTTATAAACTAGCAGAATTTCTTAAGAATGCAAAACTAAAAGATGGTGGTGTTAATTGAAAACCATAATTCAGGTAAAATAGTGTAGGCTAACTTAACTGCAGTGGCAGTTTTAATTATGTTGAATATGTTCTGAAAGTCTTAAATTCCTTTTTTCTCTGGGCAATTCTTGTTAATAGATGTGTTTTGAACTTAGATGTCGAGCGCTTTAAAATTGGAAGTTTCCATTTTCAAGGTATCTACTACTTGACAAACTGACAATACTTGATTTTTATTGCTGGAGTAGAACCTATATGAAAACCTAAAATAAAAATGCTAGCAGAATCCAGTTTTAGTTTTTAGGTATTGTATGCATGTAGGATACTTGAGGTACATATTTACACATCTTATTTTTAAAAGCCATAGTCAAACTGTTTGTGAGTTATGTATCCATTTAGGAGCAAAATTGATCACTAAATAAGGGATATAGTGTGGGAAAAATGTATTTCTCTTACTTCTCAGCAATTATTAATGAAGGAGAGAATTCCTGGAGGGCTTGTGTTTTGCTCAGCTCTACTACTGTTCTGCACTATTTGCCCTGTAACTGGAGAACAGCAGCTAGGAAGGGCCTGTATTTAATGCATTTCATTGCATTTCTCTGAAAATTATTGTCTCAAGTTCACTGAACAGGAAAGCAAAAAGAAAAGAAAAAATCACTCTAAGCAGAACAGTGGTAAAGTGAGTGCTACTTGGTAGGTAGCAAATCTTTGAGTAGTTTTTCTGTGACGACTTAGCAGTGACTTTAATGTCAATACAGTTTTAATAGGTGGCTATTAATAAAGCAAGCCCTGTATGCTTTCACTACAAAAAACAGTTGCTGAAGGTGTTTTAGCTAAAAAGCATGTGTAGCGTCTCCTGCTACTATACAGTCATTTCATTTTCTCTGGTGAAACTCCTACCTTTGGTAGAAATAACTGTTCTGAAGAGAACTGCACAGGGAAATTCTAAGTGGTCTTTAGGTGAAGATAATTATTTTATTTTGCAAAGGGGGGAAAAAAGTCAACAGGTTTACAGTGTGACTAGAAGGAGCTCAACATCAGCAACATGTGGTTTTGGTAATAAACATGTCGTGGGTAACCAAATAGCAACACTCAGTTTTCCTAACATATTGACAAGGTATTGGATAAATCTGAAAATAAGAGTAATAAATCAGGGGATGAAGTATCTGAGAAGGTTGAGAATTATTTCTTTATTTATTTTGGTTCTTTAGGAAAGAAATATTTATTCAACTAGGCACCTAAAGGAAGGAATACCAGCAAAAATGTGTTCCTGCTGGGTGCTCCAGAAAAGGTCTGGGGCAGTGATAGGAAAATAGTGGAGGATCTTCAGGAAAAAGGGAGCTGCTGTGTTTCCACTCTTCTGACAGAAAGAAGCAGTTCCTCAGGTTATCAAAAACCAACAACTGAGCCAAAACAGTTGTTGCCAACATCCTCCGAGCTCCAAAAGGTTATTGCAGACTGTTATACCAGTGCTGAACACTCTTGGTTCAGTGCACCCACAGGTTCACCATAGGGGGCTGAAGGAAGTGGTTGCCCAAGGGCATCTGTCCAGCAGGCCATGGCATTCTCCTGCCCTGGGCCTCGCTGCATGGCCCGTGTTCCCCCTCTGTCTGCCCTACAAACCAGTGTCACTCTGATATTTTGCTTTTGATTTTGACTTCAAGAGGTTATGTTGAAAGCTGCTGGATTTCCCTCTGTTCCTAAAGGGTGGATATGGCAATGTTAGCCCACTCAAAAATTAGTGTCATTATATACACAAATAGTAGGGGAGATTCATGTCACGCCTTTCTTAATATTAAGTCCACTGCTGCACAATTTTTATGCTCTTCTAATGCAGGCATTTTAAATTAAAGTACAGTAATGTGCCTGAGGAACTGTAGACCACAAAACATAGAGACAATACTGTATAGTACAGGTTTTGTATTTATATTTTTGACTGGAAGCCATCTTAATCTCAGATACTTATTCTCAGAAAAACAACCCATCTTAATATTTTGTTTTAATGTCATCCTTCAAAGACTGTATTATCTTCTTTCTTTCCTAAAATGCTCTTTTTGGAGAAGCAAGTCAGAATGTGTTTGCTAGGGTTACTTTTCAATTGGTTCATTATTAACAGGTATACCATGTGTTTTTTAGACATGTACAATTTCCAGTTTGTAGTCTCTGATTTACTTAACTACATCTCCTTGAGGCTGAAACACGATGATGTATATGAGCAGGTTCTATGGGCATTTGTAGAGGAGGTAAAAATACAAATGCTCCCTTACTTATTTTTGTTTAGCAAATATTACTGGTTATCATTTCTCAGTGCTCAGGAATGTCTACGATATAAGTCTGGGTCAGATTTAGGCATAGTGTTTTTTTTTTCCTTACTTATTTATCAGTGTATCTTGTTTCCTAAAGTCAACCATTGTGTTAATTTCATCTACTCGTGTTTGTTGTTGACCTACTTCCAAATTACGTGGCTTTTCTTCTATTGAAAATTTGCTAATTATAAAGCATTATTCATATTAGAGGAGACTGTTGTGTCTAAAGGAATTGCCCAAAAGCCCTCAGCTGCTATTTGTGGTTTTCCTTGTGTTAGTGAGATGTTCTGCTTGGCTCTAATCTATCAGTGTGGGTCTTTGCAAAGGAGATGCAGAGCCTTTATAATACGGGAAGCATATGATGGTGATACTTCCTTTATTATTTTGCACATTCTGCATGCTGTCCATTACCAACATGTAGCAGTGGTTGAGAAGAAATAAGTGACTGGCCCATCATTAACCTAATGGAGACAAAATTAATGGTAAGAAGAAGGATTTCATGAAAAATTGCCATTGTGGAATTTTGGCCTTCAAGGCATAAAACAGTCCCCATAGCTATATCTCTGTAGTGATGCACAGGAACACTTCTGATATTCCAGGTACCCCTGCCTGCTGTATCTGGACTCCACAGGGTGGAAAACCCGAGCACATGGGCCAGAGGCGAGTTATGCTCTTGTGTTCTGGCCAGAGCTTCAATCTGGGTGCCTGGGAGCAAGGACTGTAGGGTCTACTGTAGAGTGCAGCTTCCCTACTTCTGGGTGAGCCTGTGTTACACTTGTCTTGAATTAGGGCTCAGTTTTTAAGTTTATCTTCTCTCATTTCAGAAATTTAGAACAGAATAGTTCAGTTGGAAGGGATTTAAAATAATCATCTAGTCCAACTGCATCTTCACCTGACTGTGAAAGTACCCTTTTTTGCTTTGAGGATCATGTTACTGAAATCCCATTTCTGAATTAGTCTTCATCAATGATAATGACACAGTTGGTAGCTGATTAAGTGAGGCTTCATAGCAGAAGATATCCCAGGTACTCGGATATCTCCATGTCTTATATAAATACAGCTTTGATGCCTGAGACTGTTCCTTTGCCTCACCCACCAGCAGAGCTAGTCCACAGGAATTCACTCGCCACAGCCCAAGATACCGTTTAAGGTGGGATAGAATTGGGCAGAATTGTGTACCACTTTTTTTTCTTTTTGACTGCCACCGTGTTCATGCTGTGGTTGGGGGGAGGCAGCTAAGCTAGAACTGCAGCAGTGGTGTGCATGCCTTAGCGGCATCCGCAGGTGCTGTGGAGCGAGGCCGTGAGTGCTGTGGACTCTGCTGTGAGCTCTGCTGGAGGCCCTTCTCCTGGGCCTGCAATTCATGCTGAGCATGGAAGGAGCCGCTGTCACAAGCAGTAAAGGGTCTTCGCAGCACAGAGACTGTATGCCTCTAGCATCAATAGCTGGCAAAGTCAATACCCATCTGAGTTTTCATTTTCAGCACAAAATCAGTCTTTCAGGTTCTTTATGAATTAGGCAGGCAAGAAGAGCTGGGAGCAAGGATTTACTGTACATATAAAACAAGATACCACCAGTAAAGTTACCTGCAGCATCTTGCCTTTATGTAAAGGCAAAGATGTTTGCCTGAAGTCGAAATTTAGCAGCAGCCAGCAGCTGCGCAGCCTTGTAGAGGCCAGATCACATTTCTGTGTAAGTAGTAAATCCTAGCTCTGGGCTCCTTTTGGCTTTAGAACTGAAGGAAGGAACATACCTGAGAAAGGGCTTCTCAATGGTGACATGTTTTGGGGTGTTAAAATGCAGTGATCTGCACATTTGCAGCATTGAAGATGGATAAATTAAAAGGACTATTTCCTCCATCAACTCGTATCTTGCAATATTTTCTCACCCAGCAAAAGAAGTGTTTCAGGCTGTCATTTTTTTTTTCTCTTAATCATAAATTGTCATGGGAAGGAAAGGAAAAAATAAGGCTTCTCTCTACAATTGGTACACTTTCACAAGTGTTTAGGTAAAGCTGTTTAAGTAGGATTAAAGTAAGCGGAATAGCACTAACTTCTGAAAAAGAGACAAGCTCTAGTTGTTTGAGCAGGCCCTGCAGCAGCTGGTTACTTGATTGTACATTCTTAATATAGTCTTGATGTTCTGTTTATTACATTTCATTGGAAATTTCCTGTTCTTGTTTTCCAGTGAGACTACACAATTTTTTTGTTCCCCTGTAAGTCCGAAATGGGACTGCCTATTAACTATTCAGCGGCTATTACTTTTCAGCTTGCCAAATGTGAAAGTAAGCAATAGTATCATTCTCACAATTTTATGAGCGTAAAAATGAATTCATTAGCAGAATCTGATTATGGCTTCATAAAACAGAAGGGTAATGATTTGGTGCCTGCACCTATTACACTTGGTTAAAATTTGTATTTTCATAGCCCCAAAAACCCAGATAGAGAATGCAGCCTTGTTAAAACCAAGTGCAATCCTAAAGTTTAGCAGAAAGTCTTAAATTACTAAGTTAAGGAAACACAAACCAAGCATCAACAAATGACATGTAACCAGTGACTTCAATAAATTAAATTACTCAATGAATAGCCCCTGTCCTGAGTTGAATGTTATGATTGCTGTGAAAATGTAACGTATCTCTAGACTCGTCAATAGTCTTATGATTGGAGAAGTAATTTTTCTTATTTAACTCTGAATTGTACTGTAAACTTGGGTGATTTAAGCAGAACCTATAGCTTTTGTTCCTAGATGCAGAAATCTCAGTCTAGCTATTTGCCCTGTTTATTACCCAATGCCTACTAGCAACTGTAACTGTACTTGTGGCACACTCTTGTCTTTCGATCCTGAGAATACTCCATGCCTTTCACCCACTAATCTCAAGGCACAGGACAGCTTGCATTTGATTTGGCATCCATCTGTGATGTTTCCTGTTAGCTGGAGTCTGTGTTGCTAAGCAATACAGGCTCTTCTCTATCAGGCATAAGCTTGTTTCTGCAACTTCAGGGCTTTTGGAATGAAACTGAAATTTTAAAATAAACAGGCACCCTGTAATTTGGTAAATATATTTTAAAGATCATTTATGTTTATATTTGAAATGTGCTAAGGTGAGGCCTCTGTTGCCTAAGCAGTTCTCTGGTGCGTGGGATTGCGTTCTTGATGGCTGCTTTCACATGCATTGGCTTCCTTGGTGTGATGCTAGCTCTAAGTAAATGTGCAGCTCACTCCAAAGCTGGAGTAGCATCAGATCTTCAGAAGGGCCTGGAAGAGACCTCTGACGCAAACTGGAAGAACAGCAAATGCTGCACAAGATGAGTACAGAGCTTTTACACATATATTAAGAGACAGGTGAAATAAGCTTCAAGGTTATGAAAGACTGGAGAGAAGAGAGGAATACAGTAAGGGAGTCAGGATTCAGTTTTGTGCCTTGGCTGTGGGCTTATTACACCACGGCCCCAGGCTTCGGTGTTTCAACATACAGATATTTCAGGGCTGTGTAGGGGGTCCCTGAAAGTAGACAAATGGCCTGTATAGAGTCATTGCTTTTTCTTAAGTATCCATCCCACAAAACTTTCCTAGTGCAAAAAATGAATTAGTATGGTTGAAGCCACGTTGCTAAGACATGGTAGAGTCGATGGTCAGAGTAGAGTGGAAAATGTTTTGCTCTTCCCAAACCTTATCTTTTTGTACCTTTGGCACAGTTCCAGATGTAATTTGTTGACGTGGTGCTATGTAGAAAACACAAGCTACATTCAGATGGAGAGTCAAGCAGGTTGTATATAACGTGTCACAGGCTGTGTTTTCTTGACCAGTTTCCTAAAGAAAAAGACTTAATGCTATTCCTCTGTCTGTGTCTATGTCCTTGATGCTTTTTGACCTGATGGCCAACTTCAGGCACGTTTAACAGGGGAATAGATGTTGGGAAAGAAGTAATACAATGACAGAGTATCCAGAAAGAGGAGAGAGACCCAAATTATTGACTGTTTTTGGAGAGAAGACACATTGTTAGGACAAAGGAGCTGTATTTTGACCTACCTACTTCTCTGTTGGCATGTGCCCACTGGCACATCATGGCAAGAGGCAGGGCAGGGTGTGCAGCCGCCTGTTCTGATCACACAGGAACAAACTGACAGGAGCTAAGAAAGAGAAGGGAACCATGGGGGTAGGGAGACAACTGGTGGGGGCTCTATGGGAGAGACGGGAGTTGAAGATAGTAAGATGGAAAGAAGTCAGAGAGAATATGCGTGAAAATAAAGAATGTAAAACTTAAATATGTGGAAAACCAAGGTTGGTTAGTCCTAGAGCATATGGAACAACTTGTATTGGGATCAAATAAGAGGGGCAGTAAGGTGGTTTTGTTTGGTTTTAGTATTTCTGTTTCTCAGTCTCCAGTTTTAGCTAAGATACTGCCATGTTTTTGGTTTTGTTTGTTTGTTTGTTTCTTTTTTTCCCAGGTCTTAATTTTATCCGGGCTGAAGGGTTTGTATTTTCTCATGTTGCTGATGAAGGGATTATAAATGCCTGTGCCGGTGACCTGCTACGATACAGAAAACAAGTTGGAGCAGAGAACATTCAGATTTTTGCTGATATTAAAAAGAAACATAGGTAAATACAAGTAATATTATATGTAAATATGAATGTAATAATGATCTTATATTTTTCTCCATTTTCTGATTTTTTTTTAATGCCTATTTCGTGTCAGGGAAGTTAATGATATAGGGAGAACTTTACTGTTCAAGCAAGGTCTTACAGTGCTATTAGGGGATATATTTAAAAATAAATTTGCACCTGTAACCTGCAGGTTGCTGCATCTGTGAAGTTTGCAGTTGTTTAACCTTCAGGATTTATAAATGCAGACTGTAAAAGTTTTGCATCTGGTGTTAGGTGAGATTCTGTATACTTGTGTATATAGCTATTATGTTTAAAGAAATTTTGTTTCTGGGGTCTAAGCATCCAAGGTGATTTCTAGTTATGCAAGCAGTTATTGTATAAAACCATCCAAATCATAATATTTAGCACAAGATTTAAAAAAGTTACGATCTTTTTTTTCTTCTTCCTGCCAATAATACTGGTTTCTGCTACTTAAATCAGTGCTGTCTATGTACGGATTATGATCTATGATTATCAAACAGAAGGAAGCCGGTTTCTTTTCTGCTGATACTTTATCATAACTGTCACATGGTACTTTCAGTTATTTAGATGTCGGTCTTTGGATTTTTTTCTCCAGAAGAACTGCTGAAGTGTTATGTATTATACGTGCTAAGTAACCTAATTAAAAAGTTTGTGTGTAGTATGTGGGTAATCATGAGAATAACCAAGGCTAGAAAATCCTAAATACCTAATAAACAGGTAATAAATTTCAAAACGGAAAGGAAATAATGCAGCATGGTGAAATTAAGCTTTTAAGGTCCTTTCAAGGTGGCTTCTTTCTAATGATTTCTTCATATATATATATATGTATGTTTACATATATATAAAAATAAAAATACATTGCATTACACTTTTTTGTAAAAAAAAAAAAATTGATTGCATTATGTGATTATTTTTTTGTCTTTACAATTATGAATTGATATTTAGATTATACTTCCTGTTGTTCAAAGGGTTTGCTTTTTAAGAAAGGAGAAGAGGTTTTTATTTCAGGCAGATTCATAAGCTGAGAAGGAAATGTTAAAGGACTTGTTGGTTGAGTTTTTTAATGTAGAAAAAAATGCCCACCGCTGAAAGCTGTTAGTCTCCTGTTCTTTGAATGGGGAGAAACTATTTTTGTAATCTATGTGCAGTGTACAGCTACTCTCCACATGCTAGTTTTAGAGTTGCTTACTTAGCCCCGTTTCAACCTCGTTGTATATATTTACGTGCTTAGGCCTGACGTTCTCCAGCTGCAGAAAGGGAGTCAGTGTACTTCCCTTTGCATCCATTGCCATGAGTGGCATGGAGTGCACACACGTGCTGCCTCTGAATATGGCCAGAGCATGGCCTCCCCAAGAGCCTTGTCCATTCAGGCTGATCCAGGAGAGAGGTTGGCTCCATCACCGCTCATCAGTGCAACATGTTGGCCATAGCCATTGTTTTCTACTTCAGTGGAAATACAGGAACAACAAAGGCAGGTGTTGAACCAGCAATGGCTGGAATTCTTTCACAGTTTAGAACCGTTAAAATTAAAAGCTGCTATTGCTATAGGTTTCAGACAAAGTGTGTCACCCGCATATCAAAGACTGCTGTTGAAAAGCTAGGTTGCAGGTAATTGATGTTTGTAACCGCTGTGTAAGATGATTCCTGTGATTATATCATAGGTAATAACTATACTTTCTGTTAGTTGGACTTCGTGAAATGAAGTGGAGGGTGTTAATTCTGTGCTAGGCAACAGAATCTGATTTATGAATGACTGCACATCCACAACTCCCACTTAAAGTCAGAGAGCTGTGTGTGCTCAACATTTCTGAAATACAGGTGCTTGACATGTAAGCAGCTGTCTCAATTGACACTTGGTAGTTCACACTTAGCAATCACTCTTTAGAGACAGGAGACCCAGAGCAATAGACGGATCAATTATGGTTCTCTGATGGAAAAGGTTGGGTTTTTTCCCTCCTGTTCGTATTGCAATGTTTCTTCCCAATTTAAAACAGGACACTTGCCCTCTCTTACAAAGCCTGCCTTTGGTTGTTCTGACAGTGGGGAAGATGAAGAAATGCAGTCTAAACATTCCACAAGATGGATAACAAATGTGTGTGCCGGCAGTAACCACAGGGTACGTTCCTGCTGTTTACAGTGCTCACGCCCTGACGGCAGATGTCAGCGTGGCCGAGACCGCTTCGGCTGCCGAGCTCTTCCTGGCTGATGGGCTCGTACTGACTGGCACCGCTACTGGATTGCCCGCAGATCCTCAGGAGCTGAAAGGTGAGAGCTGTCATATGAAGGTCGGACAACAGGCAGTGAATCAGCTTCTGGATTAATGTAGAAAGAAATCTATATATCAGCAGATCCTTAAGCTAAAAAAAGGAAAGAAAAGAAACTCACTGTAGGGTTTGACTTGATACAGCAGAACTAATGTGATTGAGGCACTGAGGTTCAGATTGGCTGTTGTATGTTTCTAAACAACAATCTGGTGGGACAAAACTGAAAATTCTTTCAAGCTTTTATACACTGAATGATGCTGAGGTTTAAATGAAAAAAAAGTAAAAATGTATGTAAAATTATGTAAAAAACCCTTCCATTTTTAAAAAGTCTTAATATAAGAAAAAGCTACTTTATAGCCTTATTAGAAAACTAACTAACTATAAATCTTTCCATTGAAGAGTTAAGCATTTTTATCTTTCACAATGGAAACAGAAGTCCTGCAAGAAAAGGGACATTTTGATAAGGGAACATTTGAAAGAGTAATACCAGGGAAAGTACTGCTTAGAAGACTTTCAGAAAGAGTACAAGTTCATTGGTAGATAGAAAGATATTACATCAAAATGATTCTTAAATGGTGTGGACTTTTTATCAAGGGAGAGTCATTTGACCTATGAGTTCTGACCTTTGCAAAGGTGTTATATGATTCTTCATATTTTTATATGGGCATGAGTTTGGGCTGTCTTTGTGAAACTGGATTGCTCCCATGCTAGAATTAAAGTTCTATCATGGGGGCATTTAATTTTTGTCGTTAATTTTAATTTAGATTAATGGCTGCAATTTGAGGGTCTCACTACATAAAATAGAATATATTTTTTTAGGTTTTACTTTTGCTAACAGGCTTTAACTTACCATGTTTTGATGTTCCAGTACAGAGTATATTGTATTCAACTTATGTTAGCTGATCAGAGTGAAAAACATACTTTATTTGCTATAGATATCTGGACCTCAAACATATTTTGAAATAATAATGATAATAATTATTCAGTATTTTCAGGGGTTTATCTATATCATATGTGCTTAACAGCATTTAAAATGAATGCTGAACTTTTCAGAATAGGTTTTTATTTCTTACAAACTTTTTGCCAAATAATAGATTATACATGACCATGCTTCAATCACCAGTGTTAAAAAGAAAATGATGGATTGGTGTGAACACTGAGCTCTTGAATTAGTTGGGTCTTTTTGGTATAGTAAACGAGAAATGATACATGGAACAGGTGACCCTGAAAGCTAGGCCTATTTTAGAGACTGCAAAATTTCATTAATCTAGAGCTCCATCCCTGCCTGCAATTAATGTCCCCATCACTCTTAATGCAGATTAAATAATTAAAAAAAAAAGGATTTGATAAGTCTTAGGGCAAAATCCTAGGTTAAATTCTACTTTCACGTATGCACGTGCAACTTCCATTGATTTCCTTCATCAGAGAGCAAAACCTGACCTCTAGGCCCATAGGGTTTTTATCACAGGACTCCAACCAGACAGTTCCATGGCTTCTGCTTTTCTTTCATGTGAACAAACATGTCAGTCTCTGTCTTGTTCTCTTTCTGGGTCCAAAGAATGAAATGAATCAGAGTTGGCAGCTGTAATGAAGTACATACATTAATTTTGTGTTTGGATTTGTGCTATGAAAGCAAGAGTCTGCAGATCATGGGTTTATTTTACTTAGGTCACAGCATTTTGGATGTTAGCAGGCCCTCTGATGAGAAGAATGTTGGCTTAAAACAGTTAAGGGAAGAACTTAAAAATCAGTATTCCAGGGTATAAGGAAGTGTCAAATTAGGCATATCAATGTCAGCAGATTCTTAAAAGGAATCAGATCTACAGTCTACAAAGTTGGTGTTGATGTGAGTGAAATTTTGCATTTCACGAATTTATGCAGCTCTGGAAGTGCTGTATTGCGATGATACACACAATTGGGCACCTTTCATCACACTGCAAAGCATCTCTTGAAAGCAGAACCAAGAGACAGATGAGATTTTTGTCATGTCTTTTTTTCATCTTTGTTGTGCAGTAATATAGAAGTGGTTTTGCCTTTGTGTTGAACTGACTTGATTTGTGATGGAGTGTAGGAAATGAGTGTTTCCCTGTAAAGCCGGAGAACTGTATTCAGTAGGGTTTTGTTTGTAGTTTGTGTCACTGCCTTCTCGTAGGCAACTGTCATCAACTCTCCTCGCAGAGGCTGGCAGGCTTTGCTCCAGGGCACCCTGGGCATACTAGAACACCAGTGGTTTACAGAATACAAGGTCTAAAAATCAGACCTCATGTTATTAAGGAGCAAGAATTAGAGCTGAGCATCTTGAATTACGATTAATTTATTTGATAAACCATGTTTTCATTTAGGAGGTTATAGAAGTTTGTTCCAGTTTGCTATATTGTGAAACATTCTTTGATTGGAAAGTGAATCTGTCAGATTTTCTCTTTGGCTATAACTGCTGAAATAACTGATTCACATCCAGGCTGTATTTTAAGTTACCAGAGCTTTGTATAATGACTGCTTAGTTATCTATGCGAATGGAGCAAATGGCCTCAGGTGAGTAACCAGTAGAAAATGGGGTACCTCATGAAATCCAACAGCTGGCTGTGACTGTCACCTGCTTAGTTACTGTTCATAAAAGGGGCATCAAGACTGATTCATCCTCTCACCTTTCAATGGTACATTTAGGTCAAAATAGAGGCTGCTGCCTTTGCGATACCCTCAGAGTTAAATGTGAGCCTCTGTTACTTTTTGTAAACCATAGATTTAGTGACAGAGAAAAAGTCCTTTGAATTAAAAAACTAAAATGTGTTACAGTGGAGCAGTGCCATAAACATAGTGTTGTGTACGGTACAGTGATTACTGCATATGAAAAAGCTGTTGAAGAGTAGTTGAGCAAGTTATTGTCACAGTGGTGCTTATTTTTACGCTGCTCTTTACCATTGTTTTCAAGCTAGGAGCATTTGGCCTTTATTTCATGTAACTTGTGCATACCATAGTTCAAATGCTTTCATTGTGCTTTGCGACCAAGCACTATTTCATTTGATTAAAAAGACATGTCTGCAGATGTACCGTCACAAGAAAGAGCACAGTGCCCTCTAGTTACGGTTTATTGAAATAGAGAAATGTGCAAGTTGTGTGAACTTTAGGATCTTGTTACTGTAACATCTCAAAATTGTCTGCTTTTCTTTGTGTCAAAAAAAAAAATAATCAGAAGAAAGCCAGGAAAGCTGAGAGATTTAAAGCAAAGCTCTGTGTTTAGAGACATCTTGACAGTGACTGAACATTGCCATGCAAAAGCGTATCTCACTGCAGTTGCTTTATTTTCTTTTACAAGTTAGAATTTGTATGAACAGAGCCAAGAGACAAAACACATTCTACTAATCAACTTTAGGCCTTGATGTGCTTGGAAATGACTTAAAAGTAGCATCTGTAGCATACTTAATTAGGTAACCCAGTCTCATTGCAGACTGAGCACTCCCATTGCCATTCTTCACATTGTCAGTCTGAATAAATCTGTAGCACAGGAGATGTGTGTGGACTCCATGTGTCATGTATGGATCACAGCAGGAGTTGGATACCTTGCTACTTTGGAAGGCTTTGGGGTTTTTATAGTTTCACAGCAGTCTCGGGTTTCACTGGTTTTTACTCTGCCTCGTAGAGCTACGCCATCGTCTTACACCCATGTGATCATGCTGTTTAATTATTTGACTCTTCATTTTTC